GGGGTGGTGGGGGGGGGGGCCGGGGAGAACCCCCGCGGGGTCCCCACCGCCGTCCCTCGGGGGTTTAAGGGGCTAATGTCACCCCCGCGCCCCCCGGGGAGGGATGCTGAGAGCCCGCCATGCCTCCTCGCCCTCCACCTCGAGTGGGTGAGAGGGACGTGGGTTGAATGTCTTATGCCGGGGAGGGGGGTGTTGGGATAAACATCTTGTGCATATCCGGGGATCTTCACCCTTCTGGCTCATTAGAGGAGGGGAAAAAAAAAAAAAAAAACCCACACAGAACCAAACCCAACTGTTACGGTGTGTTGCCTGCTCGGCAGCGCTGGGAAAAACCTTCGGGAAATGGTTTATTTTTTGCGCTGCGCTGCAGCCGGGAAAAAATGGCTCAAGAAATGCCTCCTGCGTTTTCTTCCCGGGGTCTGCAAGCCCGGGGGGAGCAGGGAGGGAGGGGACGTCCTCCTGCCTTTCCAAATAAACTTTGTCAGGAGTCAGGGGCTCTTCCCCTCGGGGAGGGGGGGGGAATAAATCACAGCCGTCGCAGCTCTTCCCCCGCCACTCCTTCCCGTGGAAGGGGAAATCTGCGGGCGGCAGCCGCTCTGTCACACCTACCCCCAAGGGAACGGTGTGGGGGGGGCGTAGCAAGGGTCCGAGGACAGGGACACTCCCCCCGGGGTCCCCCACCTTCCCGGGAGCTCACGGAGCCGCGGCTGGGCCCGAGGGACACCCGAGCCCCGAGAGTGGGCCCGGTTCCTTCTTGCCCCCCCCCGGGGAAGCTGCAGAAAGGGGACCGGTGGGGACGACACCAGCCCCAGGCTCCCCCTGCCGCCACTCTAAAGGGCTGTACCCCCTCCCTCGACCCTCCTCCCCGCTGGGGTCACCCGTGTCCGTGGGCTGTCCCCTACCCCGCAGCCAGCCCCGACGGCTGCGCCCCAGCCACGCCTGGAAATACCGTCGATTAATGAAGACGGGGCGAGTTTTGCGACCGGTTGGGCCACTGGCCCCGTACCCCGTGGGCCAGGGGTCAACAGCTCCGGTAAAATAACACGGGGGAAGGGGGGGACACACTGCTGCAGCCCCCGGGCACGGCTGGGGAGGCATCCGATGGAATGGAGCGAGTGGTCAGAGCTGCTCCAGCTCAGAAATCCCGGTGGTTTTGATGGTATTCGTGTTCAGGTGATACCCTTGGCCTTGGCGGGGGGTCCGGCACCGGGTTTTTTAACCCCCGGTTGCCCGAGTGGCGTGGGGCCGGGGGTCCACGCCGGCCGAGGCAGCCCGGCCCCGGCTGCTGATTCCTCCTCCCGGTGCCGTCGTTGCCCCTCTCCAAAACATAACACCCACCCCCTACCTACCCCCAAAAAATCAAATCGGGGAAAGCAAAGAATGAGATGGAAATATACAAATCAATAGAGACAAATGTCAAGACGTTTTAAAATGACATTTTCATTAACTCCGAGTCACCATATTATGTCTGGTATATTGAATAAAGTACTTATAATATAATTAGGTATAGCGAGATGACGACTGTTACCCAGACCAGCGGCATAATCTTTAACTACTTAACTACTTGATAGACTCATTAATGGACTAATTGATTAGGAAAAGTGTTCCAGCTCCTCCTCTCCCTGTGAGGGGCAGGTGCTGTCCTGTTTTACCACATTAACCTTTTCAGTGCTTTTCAACAGGGTCGCGACACATTACAAATGGTCAGCTTTAATCATGATGTCAGCTCATTAACCCGGAAAGACCCCGCACTGAAATACAATTTAAGAAATCGTCCTTCATCCCGCTCTGCCGCCCCGGCTGGCCCCGCAACCCAGACCCCAGCACCCCTCCCGCGGGCGGGGCAGGGGGGGGGGGGGGCTCCGGGCAAAAGCCTTCGAGGGGACCAGCCCGGCCTGGGGAGACCCCCTGGGGGCTGCTAGCCCCTCGGCTCCTTCGTGGGGACGGGCCCGGTGCAGGGAAGGAGAACGACCGAGGAGCAACCCCCCCCCCTCCCCGGGCAGCCCCCCGAGGTGACACAGCGGTGGCACCGCTGGCCTCCAGCTGCCTCCCACTGCAAAGCTCCTTTCCTTCGAAGCCCACCAGCAGGTCAGGTGTGTCACCAGCGGGGTCTTCCCTTCCCCACGGAGGGGGTCGTGCCCGTGGGAGACGCCCGGGTGACTGCGGCCGGGGCCGGGGGGATGCTCCCGGGCCGGGGAGGTGGACGTTGGCCGGGGTAGGATGCACAAGGGCGGCGGGCAGGGGTGAGGTCTGCCCGGCCACAGCGAGAAAACGACCCGATTTCCCTAAAATGAGTATTTCAGGCGAAACTTGGGAAGCGGCAGCTCCGCTCGGCAGGGAGGGAAGCCGAGGCAGGTTCTGCGGGATGCTCGCCGTCGCTGCCGGGAGGGGAGGACCGGCGGGCCGAGGGGGCCCAGCCACGCTCTCATTACCATCTGATCAAATATTCATCAGGGCAGGGGCTGGCGGCCACGTTAAGGGTTTTGCGTGGGGGCAACCC